CCTTCGACCCATCCCGCCACCGTGCCCGTGTTGTGGGCCAGAGGCATCTTGGATTCTTGCTGGAGGTCTCTTGGGATGTCGCTCTGGGTCCTCTCGGGGGCCTCTTGGAGGCCTTCTGATAGGGCTCGTGGGGCCTCCAAGGGGCTTGTGGGCGGCCTCTTGGAGGCGTATTCGGGCCCTCATGTGCGCTTGAGAGAGGTTCGCGGGGGCATGTTCGTGGGAACAGGTTCTCAATGCCCCTCGCTTTCCCCTTCTTGGAACCCTCTTGGGGCGCTTTGGGAGGGCTCTTGGGCTGTCTTGGTGCCCTGCTGAGCTCTATTGGGCCCCTCTTGGATCGTCTTGCGGCGATCTTGGTGGACTTTTCGCAAGCCCGAAAAAGGCGAGAGCGCTAATATGTGTACAAAACATGTGGTAATCAATTAATTGAGTTTCTTCTCCTGAGGGTCTTCGTGGGGCCCTGTTGGGGCGTCTCGGAGGCCTCCTGTGCCGTCTTGAGGGGCGCCTTGGGCCGTCTTGAAGGGCGACTCGGGCCGGCTCCGGTTGCTCTAGGGCCGTCTCAGGGCCTTCCTGTGCCGTCTTTAGGCCCTCTAGGGACCCTCTTAGGCCGTCTTGGGGCACTCTTGACCTCGGGACAAGTCCAGCGGGCCCCTCTGGGAGCCGCGCGGGGCTCCCTCCACGACAGATACGACAATTTGAGGACTGAGCCCCTTGAGTGCAGAGAACTCGAACGGACCTGAAGACTTGCACGGCTCTACGGCCGCGATCTTCATGCTCCTAAAAGGCTACGGCCGACCAATCCAATCCCATTTTGATGACAAGGCGAAAGGCCATGCGGACGCCTACTACGCGTACCCCACCTCTGTCCATGCAGCGACACTCCACTCAGTACCCAGCGGCACGGGCAAGAAAGCCTCTGCCGTGGCCGCGCAGGTGAGAGGAGCCGACGGAGTTATCGGGCCAGGCCTATTCATCCCCCCCCCAGACGGGGCCTGCACGAGGATAAATCCATTCCAGAGGGCTCCAGAACTCTCTTATAGCGTTCGGGAAGGCTATGGGAAGGCCGCGGAGCCTGAGGCATCCTCCACAGAGCCGCCGGATCTCAGAGATTCTCGATTCATTCTCCCTGGATTTTATCCTCGTCCTGGCTTCGTGCACCCCTCTTCCTGGACTTTGTATCTCCTCACCCTGGATTTTACCCTCGTCCCCGGATTTTATCTTCCTGGAGTTTATTGGAGAGGTCTGACGGCCGGTGCCGCCGACCTTGATCGAAAGGGCTAGGAGTGGGGGGAGGAAGCCGAGGATGAGGAGGAGGAGGAGGAGGTAGGAGGAGGAGGAGGAGGAGGAAGGAGGAGGAGGAGGGGGAGGAGGAGGAGCAGGAGGAGGAGGAGGAGAAGGAGGAGGAGCAGGAGGAGGAGCAGGAGGAGGAGGAAGAGGAGGAAGAGGAGGAGGAGGAGGAGGAGGAGGAGGAGGAAGTGCATTTTTTGTGTGCCCGCTCGAAGAAAGTGCGCCCCGGGAGTGTGATATTCTGGCTTGGGACGTGCTCCCGGAAGAGGAAGAAGTGCATCTCGGGCGTGCCCGCTCGAGGAAAATGCGCCCTAGGGGGGTGGTATCTTGACTCGGGGCCCGCTCCCGGGACGCCTCTGCGGGAGGAGGAGCAGGAGGGGGGGGGGAAGGAGGAGAGGAGCAGGAGGAGGAGGAGGAAAAGGAGGAGGAGGAGGAGGGGGAGGAAAAAGAGGAGGAGGAGGACCAGGAGGAGGAGGAGGAGGGAGAGAGGAGGAGGAGAGGCAGCAGGAGGAGGAGGAGAAAAAGGAGGAGGAGGAGGACCAGAGGAGGAGGGAGGAAATGCATCCCGTGCGTATGCCCGCTCGAGGAAAGTGTCGCCCCGGCGGGCGTCGTATCTGCCCGGGTTTTGTCTCCCCCCCCCCTCCCCCCCCCCCTGCCTCGTCCCCGGATTTTACCTTCCTGGAGTTTATTATCCTTGTCCTGGAGGCACCACAAGCGCGTGCGACCGAGCCCGCTCCCAGGCGGGCACGAGCGGCGCAGAGGGTGGCGGAGGCGGAGGCTGGGCAGGCCGATCGCGGAGGGGGAGGAGGAGGAGGAGGAGGAGGAGGAGGAGGAGGAGGAGGAGGAGGAGGAGGAGGAGGAGGAGGAGAAGGAGGAGGAGGAGGAGGAGGAGGAGGAGAAGGATAATGCCAAAGGAGACGGAGGGACGACGGCGGGCCGAACGCGGCATATGTTTTCTGCTTTGTGTTTTTGTTCTTTTAGTGTTGCGGGGTTCCAAGTACATAGTTTAATCCATGTATGTGTGTGTATACCTATACGACCACCCTTCGGGTGATAAGGAGGTTCGGGGGGGGAGGAACCAACGTCTCACTCGATCGGTCTCACTATCGGTCTCACTATCGATCTCAGTATCGGTCTCGCTCGATCGATCTCCCTCGATCGATCTCACAATCGAACTCACTCGATCTATCTCACAATTGATCTGACTATCGATCTCACAATTGATCTCACCATCGATCTCACAGTCGATATCACATCCGGTCTCACTATCGATCTCACTATCGATATCACATCCGCTATCACAATCAACGTCATCATCATCATCATCAACAGCATCAACATCAACATCATCATCACCAACATCATCATAATCGGGACACCGTCTTCAGCATCAACACCAACATCATCATCACGGTCATCAGCATCATCGGGACACCACCGTCATCATCATCATCATCACCATCATCACAATCATCATCATCAACATCATCATCATCAGCATCATCGGGACATAGTCATCGTCATCATCATCATCAGCAGCATCATCATCGGGACACCATCATGACCACCATCGTTATCATCATCATCAGTATCATCATCATCATCATCATCATCATCATCATCATCATCATCATCATCATCATCATCATCGGGACACCACCATCATCATCATCATCATCATCTCATCCTCATCATCGACATCATCATCATCAGTATTATCATCATCAACATCATCGTCATCATCATCATCGGGGCACCATCATCAGTACCAGCATCCGCATCAACATCATCATCATCATCACCATCGGGACGCCATCATCATCAACATCATCATCAACATCATCACCATCATAATAATCATCATCATCGGGACGCCATAGTCAGCATCAGCCTCATCATCATCATCAACATCATCATCATCGGGACACAATCATACTTGGCTCCAACAAAAGTTTCTTTGGCAACTCGCAAGAGGAATAATATGTATGTAAACCCGTCGGCAAGATGAAAAGTCGCGCACGCGTGCTCAGTGTTCGCACGCACGCGATCCCAAGACGTCCCATGGCCACAACATGCTTCTAGGAATGCCTCAGGCCACGGACGAGAACGTCCAGAGGACCCAGGATGATGCCACCCCAACGCGATCCCGTCATGGATTCTGGACCGTCTCAGGCCGACTCGCAGATGACGAAACACATGAGCAACGCGTGACGCCGAGATGGCCCGATGGCAACAAGATGGATCCAAGCGCACCCAGGGTGGCCTCATAATGACCACGCGATGGTTGCGTGATCCAAACATGACCGGGATATGATCTCAAGATGACCTCCAGACGACCCCAACACGGCAATAATACTGCAACTTATGAGCCCCATCTTACTTCGAGCCGATCCCAGCATGGTGGGATCCGTGAACGGCCCGGGATTTTGGTCTACCCAATTTTTAATGGGTGGGATTTTGATCGTCCTGAACTAAACTTATAATATTAAAGCGGAATAAGCTAGGCGGGATCCCGCCCGGCCCACGGAGGAAGACGACATTGCTAGGCTTCGACGGGGGTAGGGGGTTCGGAAGGGGCGTCGTTTACTTCCGCTGACATTGGCAAGCCTTCCGGCGGCCTTCCCCCGTCTTCCGCCTCGCTTTACTTCCGTCGACTTCCGCCGGCCAGCGTCGTGATGAAAATTTCAGGAACTCTCAGTGGGCCGATGTAATCAGCATCATCAATATCAACATCATCATACTCATCATCATCGGGACACCGTCATCGTCATCATCATGATCATCAACAATCATCATGATCATCATCATCCTCAGCATCGGAACACCATCAGCATCATCATAATCATCATCGTCATCGTCATCACCATCGACATCATCATCACCATCATCATCGGGACACCATCATCATCATGTCATCATCATCATCGTCCTCATCATCATCATCATCATCATCCGCATCACCATCATCATCATCATCGTCATCATCATCATCATCAGCAACATTATCATCATCAGCATCACCATCATCATCATCATCATCATCATCATCATCATCACATCATCGTCATCATCGCGGGACACCGCGGGACACCGCGGGACACCGGCGGGGCACCGCGGGACACCGCGGGACACCGCGGGACACCGGCGGGACACCGGCGGGACACCGCGCGCCACCGGCCGCCCGGAAGAGACACATTTGGTCCGGCCGCGCCTCAGCCACAGGGACACCGACGGGACACCAGCGGGACACCGGCGGGACACCGCGCGCCACCGGCCGCCGGGAAGAGACACATTTGGTCCGGCCGCGCCTCAGCCACATGAGACTTTCCTCTCGCCGCCCACGCAAGCTTCGCCTCGCCCCGCGCGCGCGGCCGCACGAACACGAACCAGAAAATCGTTTCCCGTAGGGGGCTCTCCGTTCCACTTCGATCTCACCCTCTCACCTCCGATACGCGTGTACATGTATCCATATGTATATATATATATATATATCTTTATACAAATATGTAGCGTGAGAGAGGGAGAGAAAGAGAGAGAGAGAGAGAGAGAGAGCGTGCGTGCGTGCGTGCGTGCGTGCGTGCGTGCGTGCGTGCGTGCGCGCACGCGTGCGTGCGTTCGTGCGTGCGTGCGTGCGTGCGTGCGTGCGCGCGCGCCTGCGTGCGTGTGATTGCGTGCGTGTGTGTGCGTGTGCGTGTGTGTGTGTGTGTGTGTGTGTGTGTGTGTGTGTGTGTTTCACTGCTCGCAGTTTTTGTTCCGTCGTTCGGGGGGGAGGC